AAGAAAACAATAAAACAGTAACTCAAATAATCACATAATTCTAAAGACTACTCATATCATTAGCAACTAAAATGCTTTGCCATTCAAGCCAGTACTCAGTTACTCACACGCTTAGGCATTTTGCAGGACAGAATCCCCAATTTGTAACAGCAATTTATTTTGAAGCATTAACACCAGACATGAAAATAATGAAGCTATGCTACCAAACAGAAAATATTCCAAATGGAAAATGTAGGTGAAAAGATCTGTAGTTTGACTTGCTCTTCACATTTTACAATAACACAGAAAAGCTCTTAAATGTATTTTTAGAATATCTAATGCGTTAGCATAACTTCTTTTAGAAAAGGCTACTAATGCGTATATTTGGGTTAGTGACAGAGAATTCAGAACAGCACATCTAAATATTCTTTTTATGTTAAAAAATTAGAAACAAATAGCCATTATGTAGGAAAGTAATGTGCAAACTTAACAGGAAAGCCATTAAGCCACAACTGAAAAAGCTGAAATCAGCTTCCCTACATTTTTCAAGGAAGGCATGACACTTGCTGAATGGCAAATTCTTATAATTTGGTACTTAAATGTTAAGAGGAATTGTTACTCAGTTAACTGTATAATGGGAACAGTCCTGACACAAAAAAATATGACCAGGTTTTACTTTTCATTAACCCTTCCCAGCCTGGACATGTTAGTGTGCAAGTCCATGTAAAACCCTGAATAAAAACTGTGCTTGAAGGTGTGTAATAGCCGTGCATGTGTGTGTGGCTTTTCTGAGGGGAATTCAGGTTGATTTAATGAACTGCATGCACTGAAACTTACTGTGGTATTGGAGCATGACATACCCAGTGCATTTGAAAACGTTCTAATTTCACAACTTCATCAGTGGTCCCCTGGTCAGTCCATTTAGAGGAGCGAGGTGGGGTTATTTGTTTTGCAGACAAGGTCTGATTACAAAGTTAATTAAGCATTCAAAGGTGCAGACACGCATCTGATGGACTTTATATTATTATTATTTTTTTAAAATCCTGCCAGGCACCTATCTACATGTTAAATCTTCAGAAGACCTATGACAATGTGACCCACAGGGTAAGAGAGTGTGTGGGTCTGATTCTATTCTCACTTGACACTGCTTGAACTCTGCTCCAGTAAAGCTCCTTCTGATGAAGGGTGG